ATTTACACATTTCATAGGAACAGAGGATCAAGGTAGTGGAAATAGTATAGCAAATTTTCACACTGTGTCTTTAGGGAAGCTGTTTTTATTTAAATTTTAATAGAATGCACAGGTTAAATATTAAACACTGTGTATATATACTGAAACAAACAAGCAGATAAACAAACAAACCTTGTCATGAACAGGTGTGAAAAAGAATGCAACGATAAATAGAACATCATCCTTGCATTGAAAAACATCGTAGTTTGGCTGATAAAGCCAGCAAGTAAAATTCTTTGAATGGTTGAAGGGATTGAAGCATTAATAAATGAAATTTGTTGACTTGTTAAAGATCATGCAATGGTTTAACAGGTCTCCTTATTCCTAGATCTATGGCCTCCTACAGAGTCAGGCGTTTGACTTTGGAGAGGATAGAAGAGAGTATTTTCAAGTGACCCATAAAACGTGCACCATTTTTTATTTCCATAAAATAATTAATATTTCATTCTGCCTTGAGGTTATTTAGAGAACATTGAAATATCCTCAAGACAAATCATTTTTTTAAACCCCAGCCAAAAGAAAAGGAGTTCCCAAGACAAATTAAGTTTATTGATTCATTATATACATAAATCAATTAATTCTATCTAATATCTGTTCTCTCAATATATCAGATTAAATTCAATACATTTAACAGAACAACTAAAATGTCATTGCTTTAACACACAAAGGTTTAGTCACTCAGGTGACCAAGTGTAGAGGCCGAAGTCCAGAGCAGGTGTGGAGACTCCACAAAGTCCCCGGGGATCCACCCTCTCTCTACCTTTATGCTCCATTATTCTCCACAAATGGCTCATGACTTCTATTCTGAAGCATCTCAAGATGGCTGCTTGAGCCCCAGACATCACATCTATGTTCTAGATATCAAGACATACAATTAATAGAAGCAAACAAACAAAAAAAAAGACAAAAAAATCTGTCAGCTGAATTAGCTCCTTTAAGACACCTTCTGAGAGATCTTATCCACAACATTTCACTTGCTTCTCACTAACGGGAATTTAGGCCATGCTGCACTTAATTCAAGGAGGTTGGGAAATAATAGTCTCTTAGTTAGGCACATAGCCACTCTGATAAATCAGAGCTCCACCTCTAAGAACAAACTAGGTTAGGGACAGTTGGTAGATGGTTGTGGTGTCTGCCACAACCCCCACAAAATAGAAAGGGGCGTGTATGTTGTAGAATACCTACGACAGACAAAATACCTTTGTGAATTTGGACTTTTAAGTTTTATATAATGAACTTCCCCCTGTAATTCCTAAATTTTCTATGTACATGTAATTTAGGGCAGGCAAAACCACCCAAGGAAATTCTTTCATTTCCACTTTGAAATACAGGGGTCCTTTTAGTTTTTCTTGAGCTATACCTGGCAGATAATAATTCTGCACTAATTTTTTGCTGTGAAATCCAAATAAAACCTTGTGTATCTCAAAGGAAACCTTGGAGTTTCTTTTTAAATATTAAGGGTTCCTACACATGGACAAATAAAAACACTCTGCAATTACAGATATTAATTGTTGAACACCGACAACTAAATTTTAAAAAGTTTTAAATCCTGTATATTTTCAGGTCAAATATAGAAGGCCACACTTCCTTTCAATTGTTTTCTTTTTTATCTAAAGCTATGAAATAAATATTATCTAACTCTATAGATTGGTTTTATCAGAGGGCATTGTTCTCCTATCACTCAAAAAACTTACTTTAATAAGTAGAGATTTTTTAATAATTTCATGTGAAATATGTATTATGAATCTACTTTACACATTTGTTTTCATAATGCTTCCTATGTACATAAATTAGTCTATATATTTAAAATTGTTATTGTTTATTGTTAATAAGAATTTTAGGGCATGTGGTTTTTATTTTGTATGCATCACTATCCTTTCAAAAATTTTAATTATTCTTGCTTAATTTATTGGGTCCTACATAATATACAAGAGTGTATCCATTCTTAGTAATGCTTTCTCCTGCTGTAGTTCAGTTTTCTTTTCCCTACGTAAATAGGAAGACAAATGCACAGTCCGGGCCAAATGCAATGTTTCTTCAAATATATTAGAAATGCAAATGAATGAGACCAAGAGACATGGAGTATTTGGTTAGCCAAAAAGTCCATTTAGTTTCTTCTGTAAAATAAAAGATGTATTTCATTTTCAGAAATAACTTTATCGATTTGGATATTTTGAGTATGTTGGCTGTCTCCCATGTGGTAATATGGTGATTTTTCTCAATGCTTTGATTTGATCCCTATCAACTTCTACTGGTCCACCTGACCATGGAGCATCACCCTGTGAGAAACCACGAGCAAAAACTTTGCAAACCACTTCTAACACATTCCATAAGTCCCTGCATCTTCTCCAGATACTGCACAAATTCTTTATTGCATTTCAGTTGTGTTTTTCACCTTTCTTGAGATAATAAAGCATAAAATGTCAAAGATGTTGCTATTTTATTCCATTGAATTTTGATGTCTTTTTTAAATGCACGCTGCTATGACAGCTGCCACAGTACAATCTAACAAAACTGTTTTGAATGAAGTTAAAGACAACTAAGTGATACTATAGCCATCTTACAGAAAAACAAACTTTTGGGCAAATCCAATAATATACATTGTTTCTTTGATTACCTAGCCTAATTGATAATTTTCAACTAGTACATGACTTTTATAACTAACACACAATAAAAGGGGAGTTAGCTTTTCCTTTCTATGATGATAAAAATCCTCAACTCTAAAACACCTACTGTGGACACTTCCCAAATTACATAACACATTCAATTCTTAAAAGTAGACATATGCATAGATATTAAGTTTTACAAAATATTTTAATAAATTCATGAGAAGTTAAAAACTCAGTAAAACTAAGGAAGTATTTAACAAAGCTCACTTATAATAATTATATTAGTCTTTATTTTAATGTTCCCATGGCATTTTTTCACATTAAATAATTTTAGATATAGTAAAGATAAAAAATGTATATTTTACCTAATTATTGATTTAAGTATAGAAAAACAATTTATGATTTGTTTATTGATAATTAATTTATATGAAATAATCCATAAAATACATTTTATTAATAAACTAAATTTGTAAAGAATACAGTGGAGTTTCAGATATTTTCTCAATCATACACTTAACATTTAATTTTGAGTGTAAACAGAGAATGACTTTGAATTTTCTACATAGGGCAAAAGACAGTCACAGTTTCTCTGTGAAGTACATTTCATTGATAACATCTGAAAACACTTTAAATTGCCAAAACTTCTTAATATAAATCAACTTCCCACACTTTCTAATAACTCTGGTAACACTTTTAGAGTGTCTTCTCTTGCTGGCCAAGAAGTCTCCCACTGGCCTTTAATTGTATTTTATGGTCAAATATCTCTTCTGTATTTAAGCAAATGTAAAAGATAAAAAATATAAGTGAAAGCACAGAAGTTAATGTTTAGTTTGCAATTTTCAAATGCTCAGAAAACATTCTACACCTATATTTAAGAATATAACTTTATCTTGATATTATTAGGTTTTTCCAAATTTTTAATATTACATTAAAAAATTATAAACCTGGTATCATTGTCAGAATAATGTGTACATCAGAAAACAGAAATTGCATTACACCCCAAAATTATTTTCCTCACAATGACTACAAAAATCATAGAATGTGGGTGGCTTATAAAATAAAGTCTTACTTATTAAAACTACTTTTCTATTCTGTTCTAATATCCAATTTCATGTCAAGAAACATCTTTGATTAGAAGATGTGACAGAAAAAAAGGAGACTAATCACAAAAATTTTTTTAAGTAACCACTCATTTTTTAGTAGTTAATTAGTTCATAGTTATATGAATTTTTTCATTTTTTAATTATTTTTAATTCTCACTTGAGGATCTGTTTATTGACTTCTAAAGAGAGAGGAAGGAAAGAAGAAAGAAAAAAATTGATGTAAGAAAAGAATATCAATCATTTGCTTCCCAGGCACAACCCAACCAGGGACTGAAACCACAGCAAGGTATGTCCTCTGACCTGGAATGAAACCTGCAGCTTTTTGGTGTATATGAAGCTGCTCCAACCAACTGAGCCACCCACCCATGCAAAACAGTTTTTATTGCATGAGAAATTTGTGTGATGTAGTCAGTTATTGCTTATAACTTTATAGCCTGGCACAGAAGACTCTTAAAATATTATTTAAATATATGTTTTCCCAAATAAATAATATAGAGTATCCTATTCAATTGTTATGCATGTAAAATAATTTATTAATTCATATTTATTCAATAAAATAATGATAGTTTATTCATGTATCATTCAAAAAATATTTGGTGTTGCTGTAATAGATTTCAGTTTTTAACATATACACTCCAGACATGCTTTCTGATTTTCTATTTTCTTACAGTAATTATGAATGTAAACTGAGTATTAGGTTTCACAACAAATGAAGGAAGGGTCCTTCAGTTTTTAGCATCTTCAAAGGCCTAAGCACTGTAGATCAGAATTTCAAGCCCAATACCTGCTGGGCTTATTTCACAAATGCTTAAAGATTGTGGACCTGTGGCAAACTAGTGAATGCATGCTCTTGCCAAGTTATTTATATTTGTAAAAAGTACTTATGCATCATGATGAGCAAAGAAACCATATTTGTGAGTCTAAGTCAACCCATGGGCATCAAGGTTGCAATTCTTTCATGGAAATGCTTTCATGTAATCCTTATAAAATCTCCATGGCTCAAATTGCTGTGAACTTATTCTGGTCTATGTCTTTCCAATGGCCCTAGAAACTATAGGAACTTGATAAGGCATTCCCATGGGCAGAGATCCAAGGACCAAGCTCTGAAGGATCCTGAAAATAAACAGTGCTAGGAGCATCTCTACGGGTGAAAAGTGTAGTGAGAAATTAGCTATTATTTACCAAATTGAAGACTGTGCCAAAGAATACTTAAAAAGCCTTCAGTACATAGCCAGTTGCGTAGACCGAACAATTCTCTGGCACCAAAGACAATATTTCTTAATAGATTATTTTCCCCAAGATCTAAAACAAAGCATTTAATTGTCATCCAAAGTAAAAATTCACTTTTATTAGCCTCCACAACACCCAGCTCTCCCACATATTCTTCCATAGCATGCAAAGTAACAGAAGGCACAAGGAAGCACAAAGCACAGTCTTGAAAAGGGCAATATGTACAGGCATATACAAGAAACGAGACAGTGAAACTGTTATTTCTAGAGAACAGGGAAGTTATGTCAGACAAGGAGAATTTAGGGAGCTTTCTATTTATAGTGTCCTTATCTACATGCCTTAACTTTCACCTCCAATAAACACACACATTAGCAGGTGCTGCTATCATTTTAGATTCACTAAACTCCTGCATACACCTTGGTAGGTGTCACTCTCTTAAAAAGGCGCATTTATTTCTTTACACATGTCTTTGCTAGCGTCCTAAATTTGGGTTCCAGGTGATCCAGAAACTCAAGCCCTTCTTCTTCCGGCCGGTCACTGCAGCAGCCTACGGAGCCAGCCATGGACCCCTTTCCTTCATAGTTGTAGGAATGAACACAGTCTTCGGAATGTTTATGCTCCTCATCTTGTCCACACAGGTACACTTTCTGTATTAAAGAAGAGCACATTTTATTATTTTTTAAAAACACTTGAATATATTAGCATAAAAATAATGTCTTTGATTTACCTTTTACTGTTTAATTTTTAATCAGAGTGTGTCCTCTAATGGATTCCTACATATAAAAAATGCACATGATTGGTCTATATTATAGTCATTCTTAAAATATAGCAAATATATAAATGCTCCCTGTGAAAACATTTATGAAAACTAAAGCTACATGTATATCATACAACCAACTTATTATTTCCCACTTGAACATAAGATTTATATAGTTGAACTGGATCTCCGTAGCTTCACATGTTTTGGGGGAAATCAATATTTGCTAGGATTTTTACTGTTCATACACCATTAAATAGCAATATTAATAGAATATATTAAACTGGCTAATATTAACTTATAATGATTGATCTGAACATAAAACAGGGAACTAAAACCCCAAATAAAAGTTGAAGAGTTTATCTGGTTGATATTGACAGCCAGGATTTTATAACCACGTGAAGGATTTAACACACTAAAAATTGTTTATAATTTATGATCTGTGTATTACTCTTTAACAAACATTTCACTCTAGGTGAGATTTCCTCATAATTTTTAGGGCAGAAGCTATCATGTCTACATCGCCACTCCTAGATAAAGTTCTGTCATCCTTATTTTAAACATTGAACTTTACAAAATCATTTTTCCTTTTGGGTTTGGACTTGACATCCCTAGCCATAATAATTCAATATTTACTAAGTGGTGAATTCTGGGTGTCAGAGAAATAAAACTTTTGGAAAATCCTGATTTATAAACAGTGTCTAACTTTCACGGAATAGGAACTCAGAGACATTGGCACTCACTTCGCCAAGCCGAGGCTGGGTAAAGCTGTGCCAGTCGGTGTATGCGTATCGGCTGGTATCTGTTAGTCCTTGTCCCGCTCCCTTGACAGATTCCAAGGTCTGCTGTCCAACTCCTCTGCCAGAATCCAAAGTGTAGCCGCCTTTGACCATCTCAAAGTTTTGCTGTGTTTTGACTCCCTGGCCAAGAGTGCCAACAGATATGCTTGTGTCACAGACGTTGGATGTCTGTGTGGGGAGTCTAATATTTGCTTCCTACAAATAAAGTTAGAATTGTAAAATGAAAAAATCAAATTGAAACTAACAATTTGCCTTTATGTTTTTCCCACCATAGGCAACTCACTTACTTACTGGGGTTCTCAGTTCCCCATACCTAAAATCAGGATAATAATAGTACCCATATGTTAGGTATTATGGGTTGAATTGTGTCCCCCCCAAAATTCGTATGTTGAAGTCATAACTCTTAGTGCCTCAGAATGTGATCTTATTTGAAGATAAGGTCATTATAGATGTAATTAGTGAAATTAAGATGAAGTCATCAGTTGGAAAGGGCTTCTAATCCAAAAGGTGAAATTTGGACACAGATATGCACACAGGGAGAATCTGAAGATTTGATTTATGCTGCCATAAGCTGGGGAACTACCCAGCAGGTGCTAGGAGAGAGGCCTAAGACGGGCTCTTCCCTAGCACCTTCAGAAGGAGCATGTCCCTGCCAACACCTTGATCTTTTAAACTTCAGATCTGTGAGACCATGAATTTCTGTTGTTTAAGTCACTCACTTTGTAGTACTTTATTATGGCAGCCCTAGAAAACTAATACAACAGAATTATGAATTTTAATTTCACTAATACATTCAGGGCACTGAGCTCTGCTGGGCATAGTAAGTGCTCAATAAACATTAGAGGTATTATTAATACTATTATTATATAATAATCGACTGTCATCATTGTGTCACCATACAGTCCAAAAAAAGTGAAATATGGTTTACCATTACTTCTTCTCCAGGTCCTTCAGTATTTGATATAATTAAATTTTGTTGGGCTACATCCTCTGGAAAACATTTCTTTACTGTTTTCTTAGCAGTAACACAGAAACATGTAAAAAGGGAACCTAAAAAATAAAAATATTTAGGCAAGTAGAATTATTTTTTGATGCCGTTATATACTATATCATTTGAATCATATTGTTTAAAAGGTTCTTCAGAGAACTTAAACAATTTTATTCCATACAGTACCCTCGGGTCATATAATTTAAAATAGAATGTTAACAAACATATTAGTATTCAGACCATCTCTATCTTAGTGAGATTATTTTATTAGAGTAAATAAGAAATAGATCAATAAAAAGTAAGGAAGATGAAGTGAGCATAGTTTATTAATAATTCTCTTCCCGGGTCAAGAATTAATTTAAATATTTCTCTTATTTTCTCCACACTGAAATACTAACTTCATTTGATTGAAATTTAAGCTAGTATTATTAGTATTTAAAACCCACACAGAGCACTCTTAATGGGCTTAGAGTCATCAAACAAATGGTTGTAGGCATAACCACATTACGTATCAGGCATAAATACAAACAGGAAAGGCAATTACATAAAATCAGTGACTGGTTTTGAAAGTGTATATCACTAACATAGCACTAAGAGGAACAACCAGTTTAACTTGAAACTCAAATCAATGAATTAGGAACAGCAAAAACTGTGACAAAAACTTATAAATGTGAATAGGATGTGTGTAGCCAAATAGATTGTTAATAAAGAAAGAAAAGAGGGAGGGAGGAAAGTGTGGGCCATGATTTTCATCACTTTTGCATCTCTAAAAAACAGTTCGCAAAATGCAAAATCTTAGCATTCTTTGCATGCATTGCTTTTCCTCAGTAGCTCACCATATGACTATTTTCCATTCATTCCACTCATTAAAGTTTTCTTAAGATATATTCTGTATCATATCATTAATAACATTGAGCATAAACATCTAAATAAATTTTGGAGCTACTCTTTTCACTAATTCTTTTTGTGCATTCACTACTAATATTTTATATGAGAGGGAATCTTGATATTAATTTTATCCAACCTCTTCATTCCACATATGGATAAAAGAACTTAAGAAGAGGAAATGATTTACCCAATGTCTCACAGATAATTATGGGAAGAATTAGGGCTACACCTCTGGAAATTACTTTAATCTGCTCTTAATGATATGTTTCTTCTTCTATGACTCAGAACCCTAAGTCTTCTATCACATGCGAGATTTTCAAAAAGAGCACATTGACCAAAAGGCTATAAATGTCATTGATATAAAGAATTGTCATGTTTTTTTAAAAATATTGGCAACATTCCAGCTAACGCATTCTAGATAATTATACTTACATAACAACAATGCAGAACCCAACACCATGGAAAGAATTGCCCATTTTCCAAGTACGACTTTGGCTACCTTGACATCACGCTCTTTTATTTCCATAGGCATTCTACACTCAGATGGGGTTGTACAGTCACATACTCTGACTGACAGTACGTGTCTTGCAGCAAGACCATGTTTATCTTTTATTTCAATAGGCACGCTATAAATGTTATAATCGAGTTGTTGCTTTGCACGAAGAAATGCAGTCTTATCTATGGGAAAAATAGAAGAGAATATATATTGACATCACCTTTCAATAATAATGTTATTCTGACTGGCATTCTTGGGGTGGGGATCAGGGATAGGAGGCAGAGAGTTTACCTTAGAAGAAAATTTCTAGTGGTTCATTTTTTTCTGAAAAATGATTTTGAATTCTTGACAAATAAGGAAGACTAATTGATATAGCTCTATGCTTATATTAGACTAATCTATACTTAACATGTTCTTCAAATATTATATTAAGAAAATGTGTTCTCTTAAAATATATTCAAAATGAGTCTAAATCCCATAAATACATTATTAAAATAGCAAGGGATTATTCTTATGAGATCGCTAAAATAATTTCATAAATTTAATGCTTAGTTATCATCATAAAGTTAGATGAAAGTCAAAACCATCATCCACCTCAAGTTCCTATTGATTACAAGATTTAGCATAATTACCCACCATCCTTTTTTTCTAAGGTCCAAAGTCTGTTGACAGAATTATCCAGACGGAATTCAAAAGGTGGACCATTCTCAGGTCCATCTGGATCCATAGGTGCCAGAAGAGCAAAATCCTGATTATGCTGGCAAATTGTCACATCTCTGTCAATTTGTGGCGGGTGATCATTATGATCTTCCAACAGAACGACTAATGTGCCAGTGCAAGATCTGCCATCTAAGAAAAAATGAAGAATAACACATATCTTCACTTAAAAATTTGTTTTCCACCATCTCTAAGATACACACTTGACTGCTTTGTACTAATTATCTGAACTTGAATTTCACATTTCTCAGATCACATTACTACAGGTACACAATTATGACAGGTGCTTTTTAAAACTAGAGGTATGAGATTGTGAATAATGCCACTAATATAATAATGAGTTGATTATTGAATAATCAATAAAGTAAAATTGATTCCTTACATTCATCTTTCTGAAGACCTATATTCATGTTCAAAATATAAAGACTTTACATTTGGTCATTGATCACTTCTTCAACCTATTCTCCTGACCCTTTTCCTCACATACTCTTTGCTCAAACTTTAAAATTGGTCATCAAACCCACTAGGTATGCTCCTTCTCATGTCTATTTTGATACATTTTGTTGCTGCTGCCGGAAATACTTTTCCCTTCCTCTTTGTCTGAAAAAACTTCATTATCCTTCCAGAATCCACTCAAATATCACTTCCTCATGAAACTTTCTGTCATTTGCATGAATAATGGCAGCCATATTCTCCTTTCATATCTCACAACACTTGGCTTATCGTTGGCTCACACATTGAACTGTGAACATTGCTCATCCTCAGAGCTAAATCAGATTCATCTTGAGAGCCTAGTGAAATGCCTAGTATGTCTTGGTTAACTTATAACTTAATACTAACACCTTGAGCTGAAAGCACATACTCTTTCTGTAATCTATAAAACAAAAACTTAATTAAATAAGCCATAAACACAAGTTTGCACCCCACCCTGAATCAATTAATTTGTTCTTGAGAATAGGGACTCTTATTCATTACTACATGGCCACTATTATTGGACTAATGGCTCCTACAAGTTTCAATAAATATTTTTAAGTAAAATAGTGCCTATTAGTTGTGTTTAATAGATGATTAAGTTCAGAAAACATGCTCAAATTTTACCATATGTGATAAGATAACAAGCTACAATAAATGTTAACTTTCAAAATTGAAATAAGATAATAATTGATGAGATTTCTCACTGTTTTGCTATAATGCTGGTCTAAATTTTGAAGCATTTATGTTGTTTATCATGAGAACTACTAAAAATCATATGCAAATAAAATCTGATTTTTTTCTTTCGAGTTTGAAATATCACTTAATGTGTATAATGTAGTACATTTCAGTGATTTTTTTCTGTTGAATAACTATAGAATCAATCAATTAAAGGTGATTTTTAATTAATTATTTATAAAAGATAATTACTATATGTACCTATTTTAAAACCATTCTATCTGACAAGTTTTAAAATATCTGTAAATAATAGAGGGGTATATCTCTTATAAAATGAAATCTGAAATAGTATATAAACATTTTGAGACTGCCAGAAAGTTGTAAATGAATCTGAATACATGTAACTATAAAATCAGTAAACTAACAAAGAAGTGAGTTATGGAAAAAAAACTATTTTTAAAGTTCAAAAATATAGTTATAGACACTACAACCTGAGCCAACATGTGTGCTGATTTCATTTAAAAAGTTTTAAACAGAGAGCCATTTCTCTCCTTGGAACAATAGAGAGAAACCACACTACAAGACCAATAGAGAAGTAGGACAACCAACCAAAAGTAAATCAAGACTCATTTAATCCTATAGTTAACCAACATTTACCACATGAATTATTATTTTCCATCTCAGTCTCTATTTTAAGTATATTGTTAAAAATGAATGCTTGATAAAATGGAAAGACTCATAGATTGGCCTTCTGTCCAAGATGGAGGCATAGGTAGATACACTGTGTCTCCTCGCACAACCAAAAGAAGGACAGCAAATTTAAAAACAAAAAATAACCAGAACTTCCAGAAAATTGAACTGTATGGAAGTCCTACAACCAAGGAGTTGACAAAGAAACATTCATCTAGACCAGAAGGAGTGGTGGAGATGGGAAGAAGGGTGGAGAAGACTCGAGGCAAGGTGGCAGCTGGCAGAGCTGGCAGCCCACATTCACATGCAGGTAAACCAGGAGGAACAACTGGGGAGTGAGACAGACAGCACAGCCCAGTATTCCAGCACAGCGAAATAAAGCCTCAAAACCTCTGACTAAAAAAACCTATGAGGGTGGAAGTGCCAGGAGAAACTCACAGAAGTGTTTGTAGAGGGACCTACAGGGTACTATACACAAACCCACAAACCCACCCACCTGAGAACATACACAAACCCACCCACCTGGGAATCAGCACCAGAAGGGCACAATTTGCTCGTGGGTAGTGGGAGAAGTGACTGAAAACTCAACAGAGAGCTGAGTAAGAGGCATTGCTCCCTCTCAAATAGAAAGGTCAATGCTATCCTAGACAGAGGGTGTATTAAAGAGTGCTTTCCAGGGTGACGACAGGAAGACCAGCCTGAATGAGATGATTGACACAAGAAAGACCAGGAAATAAACTGGACTTTTTAAAAAGCTACAAGAATATTTAGGTCATCATCCCGAAGTGTTTGTGAGCATCAAAACTAAATGTTCACGTGGATATATAAACAATTATTTATATATTTGGCCTTTGATGGAATAAAGTTCTAATAAATAAAACCCTTCATGTCACCAATATGGTTTTCCATTCAAATTTATAACACCCTTATCTTTACTTCTTTTTGAGCATATCCAGGTTATCCATAAGCCTGAGGCATAGATTCCTACATTCTAGATTAAGCATTTCATTGCTTCAGGTTATGGTCACTGAATTTCTTTTAGCACTAAAAGACAAAGTTAATATCTTATAGTTCTGTTCTGCATGTTTTTCATCTCTCCAAATAGTACTTCACTCACCAAGCTAATGTATTTCTGTGACACCTCTTACTTTCATCCTTGAATCTGGACAGCTTTTAACTTATTTTCACTTCTTATGATATTTATACTTTCTTTTATGGGGACAGTTTTCATACCATAGAAATGCTTATGAGACTATAACAATCCTTTAATTGATATCATGTGAGATTTTGACCTTGTCTATGAATTCTATTTTTCATAGTAACTCTCCTACACAGTCAACATTTGTGGAATAAATAAGCAAATATAATTATTGCTCAACAGCATAATTATCGTTTTGAAACATTCAGATTCTACTTTTACTTATACAAAAGTAGCAAATCACCCAAAACTACAGAGAAATGACAATATTAATTCTATTTCTCAGTTAATATTGTCCCCATTCTTTAGCATATTTTCTTAACCTATACTGAAAAAATTACATTAAAAGGTCTCAGCCTGTTGATGACCAATGTTATGGGTAGACCGGCCACTTTTCAAAGGAAACTTTGAAAACACAAATTTATTACCTATTTTTCAAAAACAAGAAATTTCATGGCACAGCAGGGGCTACCCAGTGTGGTCACAGGGCAGGGATACAGATGGAGGAGGAAAATTCTCTCATGGACCTTCAAGTCGGGATGGGGAAGCCTAGGATTTCATAGGCTTACTCTTTATCAGTGATTTTAAAACACATGAGCAGGAATTTAAAGAACAAGGGATGGGGAAAGCAGCCTGGCTCCTTTTTCTAGTCCTGTAGCTGGCAAAATATTTATTCGAAAGAGCCATCTTTGAAGTGGATGTCTTAGCAAACACTCCTTAAGTCAGGCACTTGCATTATGAAACGAAAAGCCAGCAGTCAGTAAATATACGAATTACACCACAATGTTACATGTTCACAATGGTTTATTGCCTGGAGTGTCATTCTCAAGGGTTTGGAGAGACTACTTTATGACATTTGAAAAACATTTCTTCTCAAAATAGGTTCTAGAATTAGCCTTGGAAAAGGATTGCAGAGTATAGCAAAAGACTTGCTCAAGAGTCACTGTGTGAGCGTACCTTTAGGCCATAGGGGAAAATTTTGTTCCCCACTAAGAGAAGCTCAAAATCAACCTGCCTTGAACCCAGCTGTTTTAGGCAGTTTAAATTCTTTCAGCCTGTCCAAGTCATAGTGATCTAAACCTAAATTCCCGTACAAAAATGGAGATCCTTGAGGATGCTGCAAGTCCAAGGCAGATATCAAGTAACAAGGACCATGAAACTTGGACTCCCACTTCCTAGCTTTGTGTATTGTTTACTGGAGACTAAATTGAGGTGGTCTCCAAAACATTAAACAATCACAATGCACATTTTTTATATAAAATTTCGATCTGGAAATAAACAAATTTCACCCCAAGATTTTCTATAAAGTATACCCTATATTTATATTTTATTTCTAGAAAATTGCACTCACCTCTATCAGTTGCAACCACTGAAACATTGTATTGGTTGTTCTTTACAAATTTTGATTCTCTATCTAATACTTTTACAGTCCTCAAGTCACCAGTCTGTTCATTAATGTCAAACCAGTTATCTTCATCTCCTATCTTCTTATACCTAATTTTAAGAAATCAATGTAAATGATCAAACCAAAAACTAGATATAATCTCAAATTTTATCACTTAAAAAATACATATAACTTTCCTAAACTTAAAATCAATTCACATCACAATTAAAAATAGGGAACTTTTTGAAAAATACAATACCTTAAGCCTTCCCCACTGCGCGTTTCTGGATCCAATGCTTTGTATCCAAGGAGCTCTTGGCCAGCTGGGAGGCCATCTCTACTCTGAATAACTTTTACTGGTGGTTGGCATTCAGGGCCCTCATCACTGTCTTTAACTTTAACAGTGACAGTTGCAGTGCACATAGTAGGAGTTTTAGAGTTTGGTGCGCTAGAGAATTGCGCTTCATTAACTACGCCAATTTTCAAAATAATTTGGTGGTTGACTTCATAGTTCAATGCCTGTTAAATGACATACTTTAATTAGTCAATGTGTAACACTACATATAGAAGACTTATAATCATAATCCAAGCCTTAGCACAAAAGGGAATATTGCTTTTTTGTATAAAATGTCACCAAAAGAAAGTGCTCATGTAGTTCAAGACTCATAATTAGCTTCCTAAAATGACAAAAATGATCAAATGCAAAACTGCTGTTTTAAATTTCACTTAGCATAATTATCTCCAGGTCTATTCATGTTGTCACAAAAGGCAAGATTTCCTTCTTTTGTACCGCCAAGTAACATTCGGTTGTGTGAACGTACCACAGTTTTCAATCTACACATCTACAGATCTTCGCTATGTAAAAAATGTTGCAATAAACACAAGGATGCATATGTTCTTTCAAATTAGTATTTCAGGATGCTTAGGATATATTCCAAGAGGTGAGATCACAAAATGAAAAAGCAGTTCCACTTTTAATTTTTTGAGGAAATTCCATACTGTTTTCCACAGTGGCTGCACCAGTCTGCATTCCCACCAACAGTACACAAGCGTTTCCTTTTCTTCACATTCTCACCAGTTGTGTGTTGATTTATTGATGACAGCCATTCTGGCAGGTGTGAGGCGACACCTCCCTATGGTTTTAATTTGCATCTCTCTGATGCTTAGTGACATTGAACATTTTTTTACATGTCTATTGGCCATCAGTATGTCCTTTTTCAGAAAAGTGTCTATTCAGGTCCTCTACCCATTTTTTTAATTGGATTGTTTGTGTTCCTGGTGTTGGGCTGTATGGGTTCTTTGTATATTTTGAACATTAACCCCTTATAAAAGCCAGTCAGAGATAGACAAATACCATATGATTTCACTTACATGTGAAATCTAGTGAAAAAAATAAACCAATGAACAAAATAAAACAGAGGCATGGGAATATGGAACAGACTGAGAGCTGACAGAGGGGGGAGGAGAGAAGACTGGATGAAAGAAGGTGAGAGATTAGCCAAAAATCATACATACATAACACACAGACACAGACAACAGTGTGGTGATGGCCAGAGGGAAAGGGGAGAAGCAGGTGGGGGCTAGATGGAGGCAGAGGGCAGGGGATGGGGATAGAAAGAGATTTGCTTGGGACAAAGTGTTCACGATGCGGTGTGTAGATGATGTTTTTTATTGAGTTGTACAATTGAAACCTGCATAATTTTGCAAATCAATGTCACCTCAATAAGTTCAATTAAAGACAAGAAAAGGGACATCAGTGAATAAACTATGAAATCTAAAGGGTCTAAGAAAAAAATAAAGAGTCTGTGGTTTGGCTAATAGTACTATACACCAATGTTAAATTCTTTGGGCAAGTGTAGCATGGTTACATGAGACATTAACACTGGAAGAAGCTGAGCAGGAAGAAGCTGAGAAAGGGTCTGTGGGAATTAATTCCATACTATTTTTGCAACTTTTCCATTAATCTAAAATTCTTGCAAAATAAAAGTTGAGTTTCAAAAGCCAAAAATACTAAACTAAACTAAAATTTAATCAATTTTTCTTCTCACTTTTCTTTGGAAAGTTCTTGCCTTCATTTTTTGCATTATTAATTTAAACATTAATAGTAATACAGAACTGAGGTGTGAATTATTCCAGTTCAAATAGATTACTATACTTATCAAATGGTATAACAGTGATAAACAGAATAGTGGCAGCCACCTCCAAGCTATTATTAGACTCTCAGCATATGTCATTAGGCTATAATGGAACAGTTATCTGAGTACATGAGTCAAAATATATAATCATATTATTAAGCAGCACCTTTAAAAGCACATTATACTTGATTTGCTTTGTTTCTGATCAAAATGCTCAGTCACTAACTGAATAATCGGAAAGAATCCTAAATAATAGTTATATTAGAGACTGAAATCTATCAAGAAAACAAAAAAGGGAAAACATGAAAAGGAAACATAGGAGAAAAAGGGGGCAGGAGAAGCAGAGGAGGAGGAGGAGGAGGAAAAATGGGAGAAGGGGGAGGAGGGGAGGAAGATGGGAGAGGGCAGGAGGGGGGGAGGGGAAGGAAAAGAGAAAGAATAGATGATGTAATTTTTAAAAGATCTCGTTTATTTACTTTTAGAGAGAGGGGAAGGGAGGGAGTAAGAGAGGGAGAGAACATCAGTGTGTGGTTGCCTCTCCCATTCCCCCCACTGGGAACTAACCTACAACCCAGGCATGTGCCCTGACTGGGAATCAAACTGGCAACCCTTTGGTTCGCAGGCCCACACTCAATCCACTGAGCTACAACAGCCAGTGTGGCAATATAATAATTAAAAGATATTTTCTATAAACCTTATGAGGGAAACAAAATTTGTACATAAAGATTCTAAGAAAGTACAGTCTATAAATAATTAATTATGAAAGTATGTTACAGGTTAGTGACAGCAATGGGAGAAGGATTTAGAAGAGAACCAGGTTCAGTTAAAATAATAATTTTAGGTGCCTGTAATAGCAATTGAATTTTTAAAATTCTAAAGCCATGGCTACCTCAAAATATAGGGTCATTAATAGGCATACCTGCTTTATATTTAGTAAAGTGCCTTATAAAATAGACTACAGAAAGGTAAAAGTATAATATGATCATCAAAGAAATTGAAAAGTCAGGAGGTTTGATTTCAAATAGTGATGCTTTCATTTTTCTCTATCTTGTGTTTTATAAAATAAGGGTTTTGGCCCTGACCAGGTGTGGCTCAGTGGACCTCCAGGTCCTGTAGACCTAAACGTTGTACATTCAATTCTTGGTCAGAGCACACATCTGGGTTACAGGTCCTGTCCCCAGGTAGGGCGCATATGAGAGGCAGTCTATCAATGCTTCTCCATCATATCGATGTTTCTCTCCCTCTCTCTCTCTATCCCTCCCTTCCCCCTCTCTCTGAAATCAATGAGCATGTCTTCAGGTGAAGATAAAAAAATAAGTAAATAATAAATAAATAAAATAAAATAAAAAGGATTTTGGGTAAGTGAGTATCTAAAAATGCCTCTAAAGCTACTATCTAATTACTAATTCAATATTTCTCTGCTTTGCTTTGTCACATCTATAGAACAGTAAGTTTCGTACCTGCCATGCTTTTCCTCTAAGAAAGAAAATGAAGGTAAAATAATAATAATAAATGTTTAAACCAATGTAATCATTTCATTGAAATTCTCTAGTCATGTGCACACAGAAATTTAGATACATATATGTGTATATACACAAATGTCTCTATATCAGTGAAGTTAGAAATTTATGAATCAGGTTAAAATTTTTTTAAGGACTGCTTGATTATTTTTGTTTGTTTACCTTGACAACACACAAGACTGCTTCATTTGTTTTGGGATCTGTGCTAATTTTAAAGTTTCCATTTTCATTTCCTTCCAGGATTTTATATACAGCCTTTGAGGAAGGAGTATTTGGCAAATCCAGGTCATGTACAGCCATTCGTAAAATCTCAACATCAATTCTGTTTTCTTCTACTTCTGCAAAATACTAGAAAAAAGTCTCTCATTGTTATACATTTATAGCTTTAACAATATCATTTTCTCCTCTAAAACTTATATTTAAAGTAAAAGAGAGCAAAGTAATATAGAAATGTGCAATCATATATTGGGAAGAATTTGTAAGTGTAATGCAGAATTTGCTTCTTTCCTCACTACTTTTTCAAATCTTATCCATCTTTGAAAAACCAACTTATGCCTTAACTTTGCAACTTCTTTGGCAATTTTCCTACTCATCCAAGCCCTCACACTTACCCCTACCCATAATATTTACACTCTGTCACCCTTCTTAGACATAGCAAGTGCTTCTGTTAGTACATTTAGCCTTTAATATTCGTGGCTAGTTACAACCTACAATGATTTCTTATTATTACTGGATGACCTGTTATGCCAATTTTTTAAAAAATTTACCTTTGATTCTCTAGCAGACATTTTAAAGAGTTTTTCCTTTTTTTGAGAAATTAAATCATAGTTTTCCCCATATCCAAAAATTAAATAAGGTTATGGAAGCATATGATATTAAAAGACTAAAATAAGTAGTCAATCAGAATCTTCTAGAGATGCAGGAGGAATTCATAGAAGGATGACAGCCTGATAGTCATGGGAGCACAGTGGATCTTGAGTCTCACCCCACTGTTTCCTCTTACGTGGTGTATATGTATGAGATCATACACAAGTCACTTAACTGACCTTCCATTTTCTCATGTAAAATAAAGGATAGGAATAATGCCTGTCCTTACAAGTTATAGCAATTGATATAAAAATACTATGGATGGATCTATCACTGTAGGTTTTCCTTTCTTTCACTTGTACTATGATATAGATAAATGAAAAACTGAAGACGACTTACTAAAAGGTCAAGAAAGAAGAACTATTCCCTGGAATTCTCCTGCTATCTATATTTCTTGGAGAAATATAGTTCCCAATGGAACGTTTGTTCATACACAGCACAGAAGAGCCTGTGTGTCTATGGCAGTGGGCAGCCTGTATTACTGACTCCCCAGCAGAGCAAAGGGTATAAAGCTAGTCTTTTGTCTTCTCAAGATGTTGAAGTATAAATGATGCCAGAGACAGGGCCTCATCTCCTTCATTACATGAAAGGCATTTAAATCCAGGGAATCTGATATCGTAACTTGGCATCCAAGAATACACTGAATACATGAACATCTTCAAGGGCTAAGAAGCTTTTATACATTATTTCCCTAGCATCCAGAATAACTGGCACTTCAATGATTTCTAGAGAAATTGTATTTTTTGTCTGTGTTATTTGTAAGTGGTAGCTGTTAAAACTAAAATGTGTAACCTCACAGAGCTACCAAATTCCAGATTTGTTTTCAGAAAAAGTAAGTGAACTTAGATAAATGAATACAGAAAATATACTCACAGCAGTTTCTGTGAAATATGGTGCATTGTCATTTTCATCTTCAAGTGAAATAGTAATGGTTCCTGTATTAAACAAGCCAAAATGTTGGCCCCCCATGTCTCGTACTTCCATTATTAACTGGTATGTATCACATTTCTGAATAAAAGAAAAAAGGAACATTGATGAACTTCCCCCCCCCAAAAAAAAAAAAAACAGCATAACTAAAAATAGAACAAGAGATTGGTCAGTTACTTAGGACAATGGAAAGTTGATGTGTCTAAGAACATCACAACATTCAAAAGCTATTTTTTTACTATTTCAGCATCCACACATCAAATTAAGTCAATAATCACAAGTGAGACCTCCTTTAATACCTTGTACCTTCCCAAATTCTCTATACAGACAAAACAGGTGTCCAGAGAAGCCCTAACCAATCCTGTGCGGAAGCAGGATTGGAGAGGAGGCCACGAACGGCTTACTTTTATTTCTCTGGGAGTTTTTATCAGTTTAAATATAGTGTAGTGACTGGGGAAAAATGAATTAATTCATTACTTCTCTATCCAATAAAAGTGACGTTGTGGAGATGACGCCCGTGTCTGGGTGTACAGTGAAATGCTTTGGGTGATCTGGGATTTGCTGTAAGATTTTAAATTTCAGACGAGTATGGAGAGTGTCCGGTTCATCAAGATCTATGGCGGTCACTTTTGCCACTGAAGTTCCTGTTTAAAGAAAGCCAATGCCGTCAATAATTTAAAATAACAACATCGCAAAAATAATTAAGGCACTGCTGTCGCATATTCTCCCCCCAAACCACAAATATAATACATGGAAGAGTATAAATACTCTCCAAACTCTAAGCTTCCCTTACTTAGAAACTTCAATTAAGTAATTACTGTGAAGAACATGATTTGTATTCTACCTATATGAGAACGTTCACCCCACCCTTGGTAAGAGTGGTTCTAAAATTCTTCCCCCAACCCACCACCCCAGTTCATGGGCCATTTTTGCATAGGATCCTCTCTGTATATCTTGTTTCTTTTATAGCTCATCTTAATAATGTTGTTAGAAGTAGTACAGCTTTCTATAGGGTAACAGATTTTATGCATTTATATTTTAATAAATGTGCTGAATTATTAACATGCATAGTAATTATTAATGAATGTTAGACAAAAACATTATGCATCAGTCTGAGTATCAAGAGTCGGGCTTTAGGGCCCAGAAATCAGTGTAGAATGTTGCTTTAACAAACCACTTACTGTGAGAGAACAATAAATATACACATGTAATGGCAACAGACTAGCGGATCAAAGAACTGACAACATTTCTTGCAGATTCTGTGAAAAGCTGGGCAATCTTGTTATGCCCCTGAGTAGACCAAGATCACACATTTGGCTGCCCATAGCATCAAATAAGTTTAATTTTTTTTTCAGTTTGTCTGGAAAATATGCCAAGTAAAGCAACGTGTATGTTGTCATAAGTCAGATTAGCATTTTCATACTGTGATATTGTTTCAGTCCTTGAAAATGTGTTGAGACTTCATAGATATTCATATTATTCGTTGCTTTCCAAATACATCTGTGACATATATGCAAATCAGAAGATACATACAGCATTTGTCATATATTCCTGCTCATTGAGGATTGATCTAACAAAGTTAGTAGCTTTATGTATTACTTGCCTTCTATATAGGCATAGCAAAATGAGCACAAAAAGTTTGCATTTGAAGGGTATAAGACTACAAAGTTTTATGTTTAGAGACTACAAAGACTACAAAGAATATTCTTGAAAGTCAAGCATTTAAATATGTTTAGCATAACCGTGTTTAAAACATTAATGAGTAATTCAATTGAAACAAAAATCTAGTGTTTTCCTAAAATATGAACTTACCAATTCGGCAATTTTCAGGCACGTTAAAGACAGTCACTTTGGTTTCAAAATAGGGGGCATTATCATTATCGTCTTCAACTTTGAATAATAGGGGGAGTGGGTACTCCGGCGCATAACCATCAGCAGTTGTGGCATAGGCATATATCTGAAAGGTAAACAAAAGCCATCAGCTTACTCTTAAATAACAAGTTATGCACAAAATTGAACCTAGCAATTGGGCAAAAACATGTGTAAAAGGTACATGTACGTAACTAAGAACTTATGCAAACAGACAAGACAAAAACCAGCACAGTCGGTATGACTTCAGTCTTCTTTAAGCATTCTCATTATTCTCCCACGTACCACGCACTCCAGCTGCATGAGGCTGCTCTACTCCCGGCATTAACTGCATGCTGTTCTACTCATTAGAATGCATGTAGACTTCCACCAGCTATGTTAATTAATAAGTATTTGTGTAAGTTTATAAAAATATAAATCTTTTTCCTTGTCATTGATATACCATCCACCTCTGGGTGATTCAATTATGCTTTTTTTCTCTATGTACCTGCGTTTTCTTAGTTTTTACCATAAGCATGCACTTCTTGTGTAATAAAAATGCTAATAAATGCATGTGCACATTCCAAATTCCACTTCAAAATTATATATATATATATATATATATGCCTCAAATGAAGCTATTTAATGTCCTTTCCCTTTAAGCACCATCAAACTACTTCTGCATCTTCTTATGTGCTTTATGCATGGTTACGTGTTTAATGGATGGTTGTTGAGTGAAACAGATTCTCTTCACTGACGGGCCCAACTAAACCTGCCCAAAGTGAAATCTGTATTAACTCCATTCTTTACCACACAACTAGCTTTCTGATTTCCCTGCTGTAGCCATCTTCTAAAATGATCCAGAATTATGATTCCTGGTAACTCCTCCCTCTCTTTCATTAGTCTTTTTCATCTGTTGCCAAGTTCTGGCAATGACGGCATTTTTATGTCTTCATCATGTGTCTTTTCTTTTCTATTCCCATGCAATCATCCTCCCATGACTTCAGATGCATCCTACCAACTTTCATGTTGTATTCTACCAACTTGGCTGCAATCGTTCTAAGTGACCTCCTCCCATCCATGTGCAGCTCAGGAGTCAGGTTCGCTTCCATAAAGCACAACTTCAATCTTGACACTCCCTAATCACACTCTTCAGCGACCTGCCTATCTTCAACCAGAGTAACAACAAAATCCCCACTGTTGTGTTAAAGGGCAACATTTATCTTCACTGCTCTTGTTAACGTGGAGAAGCAATTTCCAGTCCAAGCTCTAAGACAGCAAGTTTTGAAGTAACCACCCATGTTCTATCTGTCCCCTTCTTCACTTTTTCCCCAACAACCCCCAGGTGGGCTTTTTGGGTAATAAAATTTATACTCTGATGTCCATCAGTCTGATCCCTATATCTTATTTCTCAATAAATTCTGAACTCAGGAGTATAATACAGAAGTGTATCATTCCCCTTCCCCACCACTACCATCACCACCACCATCATCATCATTATCATCACCATCACATCCAGATGTCATACTGTTTAGCCCCCCTCCCTCTCCCCCTAGATTTGATATGAGGTTTTTTTTCTTTAAACTGCTGCCATTTTGAGAGTTTTGACTAGAGAAAATTATGGAATTATTTTATGTCTCTATTAGATTATAATTGTTCTCTGGGATAGAGCCTGAGTCTTATGGATATTTGTATGTCTAAACACCTAACATGGAGACTTACATTGGGTAATTCCTTAATAATCTGCTTTTGCATTCAATTCTACTCATTTTTTTCCTTTTAGGAAGGCTAACTACCCCTTAAGTTTTCTTTGGGCATGATAAGATAAAATAAAATGAATTGGTAAACTTATTTTGGATTACTAAGGAAATAAAATGATATTCAAGATTCTTGTTGCTAAAGGCACTCAAAGGGAAAGAAAGAACAGTACAATGCTACCGAGGCTGGAGCAGCAGATCTCAGCCTCCTTTGGCTACATTTAGAATCACCTTGGATGGCTCCAAATTTTCAACTCGCTGGACATATCACTCCAATTAAATCTCAGAACAATTAAATCCGAATTTCTGGGGATAGACCAGAACATTAGCATTTTTTAAGGTTCTGATGTCATTTCTAACATACAGGCAGAGTTGAGAATAATTGAACTATATTATTAAACAGAACTTTGAGGTCAATACAATTTACTACTGCTGTCCTAGGATTCTACAAAGCAAAACTTATCCTTTAGAATTCTATCATTATATTTTCTATAGTTATCCCCCACGTTTCTTCCCTTATGTCTATTGTTTTTCTTCATCCATGGCATCAATAGAGATTGAAGTTTATATTACATATTGATAATACTTAAAATATGAAATCAAATGTATGTTTCATCTAATATGTAAACAAACACTGAACATATTAAACCAGTAATAAACATAATTCTATATAAGTAACCCAATAATCTTACCGGGAACTCTTGATATTGCTCACGATCTATGCTTCGTGTACAAAAAATATCCCCAGTATCTTTGTCAATGAAGAACAAATTCAAGGGATCTTTGTCCACTCCTGGTCCACTTATGGAGTAAAAGATGGTGTAGTTCTGTGCAGTATCAGATTGGACCTGTAATAACAAGCGACAATTTAGAATAAAAAGTATCTTCAATCTAATATCTGTGACAGTTTGTTTTTTGTCACCTGCTTTTTTTCCTACTAACCTATCCTTTCTTTCCTCTGTTTATCTAACCAGTATGACCCATATTTTTAAATTCTTGTTCATAGTCTGAATGTGCAAATCCTCAAACTCTATCACTTATTTGAGCTCACATTCTTTTATGTTATCTGCATATTCATGGAATACTCATGGAGTTAAATATACTCTTACAATTATTTTTCTAAAATTTATTTATTTATTTTTAGAAAGAGGGGAAGGGAGGGAGAAAGAGAGGACGAGAAACATCAATGTGTGGTTGCTTAATTGGTACTCGGCCCACAACCCAGGCATGTGCCCTCAACAAGGAATTGAACCAGCAACCCCTTGGTGTGCGGGCCAGCACTCAACCACCGAGCCACACCAGCCATGGCTACTTTTATAATTCTCATTCATTTGTTTTTATTTCCATATGAATTATAGCAATGGTTTCAGTCATTTTGAGTTATTTAAAATTGAAGTTTTTATGATTTAAAAAAGTAGAAATAATGCAACTTTCCTCCCACAATTAATTCTTCAATAATTGTGCAATTTTAAAGCTGGTTTGTGTTTACACTACAGCTGTGTGACAGTGACATCACCTTTCTGGTACACAGAAATATTGGACTTTTGGGGGGTAAAGCTATGTGATAAATGGAGAGTCGAATTATGTCAAATCTGTAGGCATGTTCTCTGTACTTGAATGCTAAAGTCTAGTAAGATATTTAGGAAAATCGGGGTATAGACTGAACAGCATCAGAAACCCAAAATAAGAAACCTTGTTTAAGTGCTAAATATGGTTTCTAAAAAAAAGTAACAAATGACACTGACTCGCTTCTACAGGATCCTATTTCTGGTGAACACGTGATCCTTAAAATTAACAACAGGTTAGAGCTCTGATTCAAAATACTATGCAATTCAAACTGAGATTTTAAAACAACAACAAAAAACCCTCCAATATGTAAAATTGAGCAAGATGAAATGTACCTGCTGGACATGTTGTGGAAATGGACCTAGTGAGTTCTCCATCAGTGAACATGGAATAGGAGCCCACCGTCTCTTGCTGCGCTGGAGGACCGTGTCTTTGCTATGTCTCCTTTTAGAAACCTGCATTTGTTGAGAGAGAAAGACACACAGCATTGCTTATCATTCTAGGAACTGTGATTGTTATATATACAGGGTCCAGCAGAAGTAATGCCTGCTCGAGTGTGGTTGGTGGGGTAATAATATGGGTGTAATAATTTATAGTTTTAATATGAACATTTCACCTAAAATGTCATATGGTGTGCTTGAGTATGATATTATTATATTACAGAATTAGATGCTCATGATTTTGTAATAAAAGATTTAGTAATAAAAAGGGATGTTATTTCTGCTGGACCATGTATATCACATGAAAATAAGGGATGTACATAACAATATCGTGAATAACCAACCCCCAAATTATTTCTGTTTAGTTATTTTATTAATAAGATAAACACACATATACACACAAGGGTAAGAACCAGTTCCTCACCTAATTCCTGATTTAACCAGTTAAGCAACCAGAACTTTATAAGACATTGGTAAAATAGGCCATTTTGAGAATAGACCCCCTAAAAAAGATAATTCATTAAAAAATATTTAAGAATTGATCTTTTTCCACTAGAAGTGGTAGAGCGAAAATTCTTTAAAACACTATCTGCATTTCAAAGCATCTGTATACCTATATAAAGATACAGATGAGTAGTTTGTTCAAGTATGTTTTATTTTACATAGTATGGAGACTTTAAAATTTGGACATAAGAATTTTTTTTAGTTGAATCTTTTAAAAAACATTTTATTTATTTATTTTTAGAAAAGAGGAAGGGAAGGAGAAAGAGTTAGAGAAACATCAGTGTGTGGTTGCCTCTCATGTGGCCCCCTCTGGGGGGACCTGGCCTGCAACCTAGGCATGTGCCCTGACTGAAAATCGAACCAGTGACCCTCTGGTTCCTAGCCTGCGCTCAATCCACTGAGCTACACCAGCCAGGGCATGTTTTTTTAATTGAAACTTAATGTATTTTTTGCCATTACCATTTACTCCCTTAATACCCTTTTTCCCCCAGTGATCACCACACTCGTTGTCCACGTCCCTGAGTCTTTATGCCTTCTGGCTCAATCCCTCCACTCTCTCTCTTCCTCCCCACCCCCACTAGCTGTCACCTGTTCTCCATCTATGAGTCTGTCTCTGTTTTGCTTGTTAGTTCAGTTTGTTTTGTAAGCTTTAATGAAGAAGAGTTCTCATAATTAAAAGGAATTTAGCTGGGAAAGTATCACAAATCGAATCACTTAGATTTTGTAATACCAAATTCAAGTGCAGAATTGGCTTAAAGTGAGATTTGTGTGAGTTCCAGTAATTCTCTCCCTTCATATTCTTCCATCACCACCACTCACTACAAGAAAGTGAGACTGGGCTCAGAACAAACCAATCCTGTGGACTGGTCATTAGTTCATTTTCTGAACAGAAGGATCCCATGGGATTTTCAGTTAAGGTAGGAATAAGCTTTGGATAATCTCCCTCCTTAAAGAGAGACTCACACCCCTAGAGTCACTGGAGAGAGAGAGCCACCAGGGTGGAGTTCCACACCTCCACCGTGAATCAGCCTGCACTGTTTCACACCCACCCCTGCCTCGTTCTTCAGATTAGTGTTCTCAGTGCCGCCCCACAAAGCACGGTCTGACAGCTTTGATATCCTGACTCTGCTCCGTGGCTTCAGAGTTGTTCATTTTTATGCCATGTTGTATACAGCTCTACCACTCCTTAAAACAGTCTAGTATTTGCACGTGTCAATTATCAGTCAAACAGACAAACAAGTGAGTATTAAAGAACAATGATTTTTAACGTGGAAAAAAGTCTATGAAATGAAGGACTCACATAAGCCGATTAATATAGTCAAATCTTTGCCTAAAATACCTTCTTTCCTCTTGCTTCCAGTTCAATTTCTATCTCTTTCTGTTCCTGCTTCTGACTGTCTGAAAGAAAAATGGAAAAACTCTTCCTTTGGGGAGACAAAATGAGGTCACGTGTTGCGTAAATGGAGCCATCTTCAAGAACTCTGAAGTCAGGGTCATTGGACAGGATTAGGCTGGCTGACTGGAGACACTCCTCCAGATTCACTGCGGGGAAGAAATATCACAGTCATTTGTGAGATGAAACCGGAATAGAACAAGTTTTACAGGAAGAACAACTACAAGTTGGTGCACGAGAAGCAAAAAGTCGAACTTGGAATTTGGTGAGTGCCTCCTATTCTGAAACAGAGGGTCATGAAAATTAAATAATGAAATTAATGAAGTCACAGTTTCTAGCACTTTCATCATAAATTAATTTATGAATAAGCATTTAATGTTTTCTTTGTGTCACTGGATTTATTGTTTCCATTTTAGCTTTTACTTATGGATTTGTGCATATAGAAATTTGTCATTTTATATTATATATAGTATAACTATGACATCAGTAGATTTTGAAATTGTCTACTATAACCTTGGATAGCTAAATCTTGCAAAAAATAAGAAAATTGGTGTGTACTTATATAATATTGCTCAACAATATTGCAAATAATCACTTTATAATGTATTTGGGGATTTAATAAACTCAACACTTAGTAAATGTTGTGTTTGTTGTCAAATGTCAAACTATTTTCTTCACAAATCCATATCTAATGCATTTAGCATATTTACTGTGTATCTTTAGAGTACAGACTGTATACCTTTGAAATGTGTTAAGAATATGTAAGGGATTAATTTAAAGCACAGGTCCAAGCAATCTCTATCTTGAAAAGGGTATCACTTCTGAATTCAAAATATATTTTTCTTTTTTTTTTAATTTTATTTCTTCCTAATTCTTTTTTTTTAATATTTTGTTTATTTATCTTTAGAGGGGAAGGGAAGGAGAGAGGGAGAGAAACATCAATGTATGGTTGCCTTTCGTGCGTCCCCTCCTGGGAACTGGCCTGCAGGGAACTGGTCCGCAACCCAGGTATGTGCCCTGACTGGGAATCGAACCGCGATTGTCTGGTTCACAGACCCACGTTCAATCCACTGAGCTACACCAGCCAGGGCCAAAATATATTTTTCTAAATGTAAACTTAAGCCAATAAAAATCTTTGATGAAAGGAATGTTATATTTGGACTCAGAACAGCCAACCTGTGCTTCTGGTAAGGCTGTGCTAGCAAGACTAGTTGAAATGTTATTTGCCTTCATAAGCTATTTTGTGAAATAGATCATGTAAATTCTTGCTGGAAACTGGTGCATTGCAATCAACCTCAAGCACTAATTTTCTTCAGAGGCATTTAAGTTTTGACACATCTGTTTTATATGTAATCAATTAAAGAATCTTGACTTTGGAATTTTGGCAGCAGATTAGTTAATATGAATTAAAATATGCTTTTGGTTTTTTTGTCTTGCTTTGTTTGAACTAAACTACGAGAAGTCAGCCCTCTAATGTTTACTAATTTTACTGGCATGAAAAGTATACAATGAACTTGGCACTTTAGTTGTTTCTAACCACTTTCAAAAGACAAGTAGTTCATCTTTCATTTATGTTGAATTTTAATGCCAAGTATCTACTATATGGCTTTTAACCCAAACTTTACAAGAGTAGCCTGAAACTAAGTGTAGCAGTTAAAACTATGAAATTTTTAACACCGTTTCTCACCTTTGCCTATCAGTCTGTCAGCCTGAAGATGAGAAGGAACTCGAAGAGAAATTTTCTGACAAGCATCGCAAAACAATATTAACACCTCAAAAGAAAAAAAGCACAAGTTACATTTGATTACAAACTTTCACATTACAGTTTTGTCTTACTGATAAAAGTATTGTCCCTTTTAGCAACAAAGAAGTCCTCTAATCCTTTCATTTTTTTTCACATTCATTTTTAAACAGCAAAGAAAGTGTCATTTAGTATCAATGAAAAAATTAAAGTGAACAGTAATTCTTAGAACCTAAAACATATCGTGTAATTTTAAGAAAATGTATTACAAACCACTGATTTTATATAGACGTTACCATCTCTAAGGGTATTCATAAGTGTCATTCTGATTTTTTTAGCATAAAGAAAGTACTTAACTCTGGAATATAAAAATCACATATTTGTACACAAATCATCATTTTCACAGACCCCCCAAAATTTGAGGATGTAAGTCAAGTCTAAAAATATTTGAAAAAATGTTTAACCTTTTAAAGAACAACACCCACTCCTTACATTGGCTTGGCATAAATGTCAGTCTAAGTAATCTCATTCACAAGCTAATCTAAAAATATTTATATTTCAAAATATAGAGAGTGGTTGTCAATGAAGTAGAGATATTTAAATAAATTCAAGACACAACTATTGTCTTATTAAAAAACTAGGTAGTTTGTCCTGGCTGGGTAGCTCAGGTGGCTAGAGCATTGCTCTGATACCTCAAAGTTGTGGCTTCTACCCCCAGTCAGGGCACATACAAGAAACAACCAGTGAATCCATAAATAAGTGGACACCAACTTAATGTTTCTCTTTCTCCCCTTCTCTCTCTGTTCAAAGTCAATTTAAAAAAACATACCTTAAAGCTAGGTAGTTCAAGGGAAAAAGGTTTATGTGCATCAGCATCACTGCAAACACACGAGTAATGTGTGCACTGTGGTGTTAGGACAGCTACAGTGTCACTAGGTGATAAGAATTCTTCAGTTCCACTAGAATCTTATGGGGCCACTGTTGTGTATGTGGTCCCACTGTCGACCCCAACGTTGTTATGTGGTGCATGATTGCAGTTTGTAGTCCTACAAAAACCCTATTAGGTAGATATTACCAAAGACTGGAATTGAAAAGATCATATTTATTTGTCTCTAGTTTTAATTTAAATAACTACTTTTTAAAACATGAGACATCTTAATTTATTTGACTTTTTAATATTTTTATTCCTCATGCCAAGGAATGAACTAAACTATATCTAAAAACATTTCTAAGCATAAAAGATTCTGTTACTTGATGATCTAAATAGTGTGGAAAGGGTATTTTGTAATTAGAAATATATATTCATATACACATCTGCATACGTATATATGAATAAACATACATACATATACACATATACATATACACACATTACGTTGGTAGGATATATCCACATTCCCATTCCTACACCCATCTTCTTTCCTTCTTGCTCAGGACCCCCCACTTCATTGGTTCTGCTTTTGCCAAGCAGAGCCAATGGAATGCTCCCAAAATACTATTACAAGTCTTCAGGTTAAATCAGCAGCTTAGCAATTGGAGGAAGGAGGAGTCAGACATTCATTTGGTCTTTATGAGGATCAGGGATGGATGAGCAAGGGAGGAACCAAAAGATGCTGAACAGAACACAGACCAAAAGAAAAGAATCCCTGGAAAGCTTTCATAACATTTTAACTAACCCATACTAACTCGAGTAGGGTTCTGAGTTTTATTCTACACTTCCCCTCACCTAGGCAGTTACAGGGTGAAAACAAGACCACCAATCCCACATCATGTATTAGTTATATGGAAAAAATACTTATCCCCATACAATAAAATTATTCAATTCCGAAAACATAATTTGAAGTTAAAATATTTTGCCAAAATGTAAAAAGAAGAAAAGTCATGGTTTAGAAATGCCAGATATGTAAAATCATTCCCCTTTACCCCCTCCCCACCAAAATAAAAATTAGCAGCTGAATACACAGGTACAAAGCTATTAAAATGTAAGTAGAAGCCAGTTTAATGTTATTTGTTTTCAAAACTGTTACATTTTCTTATCATTTTTCTCAAGTAAAACCCCTTGCCTGAACTAAGAGCTCCACCCTCCTGTGTAAAATTTAAAAAGTCTTGGATAATCCTCATCTTAGGTACCAGAATCCTTTTCAGCTTCTCACAGCTTAATGGAACTAAGCCTGTTAAATAACTATAGCTTATTTAATGACTAGCAGCAAAAGCAAACCTCAGAACCTTCTGGGACAAATGCCTGAGGAATAAATTCATTCCACTATTCCTTAAAAAAACAAAAACAAAACATCACAGCAAGACTGAACAGGGGATTCCCTTAAAAATCTGACAATCTGGCCTTGGGCCCTTGAAGAGTCGATGAAATAGCTGCCTTCCTGGGTCCTAAGTCTTTCCATTCTTCCTCAGTTTTTCTGAGATCTGTTTTTGTTTTTCCCAGGTTATCTTCTCTCCCTTCCACTCCCACCCCTACTCTCTTTCAAGCCTGAACTGGAGGGAGGAAGCACACAGCAACCTGCTTGAATTCCTTAACCCTTTGGTGGTTACTCACCAGGAGAGAGAAAAGGAGCTGCTTGCAGAAGAGGCTCCCTGGGGCAGCAGAGGCCACAGCCATCAGAAGTGGTCCCAATGGTCAAGGATGGTGACTGGATAATAGGACAGCTGGGGATGCACGACGCAGGTCCACAGTGGCTGGCACTGTGCAGGGTATTCTGCTGCGACACTGGTGCAATTAGCTTGATCTGGAGAAGAGTCAGAAGTCAAGTGTTGACAAGAGGAGGAGCAAGCAGCAAGAGACTTGCTTTTCTCCTATTCCTGGGTCAGTCTTTCTCCATCCAATTCAATTACTCTGAATGCAAAGAGGCTTCCTACAGCTGGGGAGGTACAAAAGAGCCCCAGACCCAGCCACTAGCTCCTCCTCACAGCAGCTTTCAAAACTTCTCCTACCACTTGACACATAAGCAGAAGCAAGAGGGAACACCCTCAGTCCTTGGCCCTCCGCCCTTTTCCCCCAGGTTGATGCTCTGATGTCCTCCCCAGTTATTACCCCCTCCTACGTCCTTCCCTCCTTCTTGGCCTTATTAACCTATCTTGCCCCTGGGTAGAGTTGTGCACAAACTCCATGCACGGAAGTGATACCTACTCAGCTGCCATTGGCAAATCAGGGGACATATGAACAAGCAATCGCATCATCAGAAGTTATCTCCCCATCTGGGCACTGAGGTGGAGGCTGTCTTTTACAGCATTGTAGTCCTCAGAGAGCTGGCACTTGTCTATAGCAGTAACTTCAGAGATGCATTGTGCCCACTCCCTTTGCTGTCTGCCCACTGTGCTTTGGTCTTCTAGATGTTCCAAGGAATTTACCAGAATGTATGTAGACCTCCTAAAAGTAAAAGAATAAAGAAATAGCCGAGATAAGATTTTATTACTGCATTTTTTTTGTTATTTATGAAGCGACATTTTTTCAGTATCTTTATTCAAAAACACCTGCTATCTGAGACCAACTATTTTTAAAATCAATCTATTCATCACAGTTACTTGTACATTACCTGCAGGATACCTTAGCCTGAAAGTACGGTATATCACCCACTTTAGTTTTTTAAACAATAATGACTGCTGCACTGAGGACTTTAGCATTGTTTCTCCTCTCACACCTTAGTGAGTTCAATATCAATTGCATACAATATCAATGATGGAATTTAGGAAATGAGGGGAAATATTTTCAAATGTAATTGTTCAATTTGGGATCTAGAAAGGGAACTGTAAGTCTTATTTTCTGAGCCACTGCCAAGAATCAGGAACCATGTCAGGCATTTTGGTGAATCCTCCGAACTAGTCTAATGAGGACTCCTTTTAAATGTTGAAACCACGAGAAATTAAGTAATTATCCTTTGCCCATTAACCCACAGATAATGGAGAAGTGAACATTTGCACCTAAGTCTGACTGCCATTAAGTGTAGTCACTTTGAAAAGGAACAGAAAATGATGATCAGGCATGAGAGGATTCTGTCTTGCTGAGCAATAAGCAACTTAGAGACTAGTAAGATGTGTTCAGAAGCACTTACAATCTACGCCTCTTAGAAATAACAGCCAGTTATTCTAGAATACTGGCTTGTGAGCTCTTCTGTGAGAATTATTCTATAGTTAAGTAAAATGAATGTTTAAAAAAGTGTATAAAAAGTATATACTTACTTTATAAATTTTTATACCAGAAATCACTCTTCCCTGCTCTTACTACTTATGTTTATACTTAATGTTTAACTAGAAAGTGAAGGTCCAGCCGAATGCCCAGGCTGCTGAGTAAAGAAGGATGAAAAATTTTCTTTTGTTTATTTGACACTAAGAGTAATTCTTTCTTGTATATAGAGGTGAAATTAATAATATAACTGCTTCTTTGTGATTATGAGCCCAGAAGATTTGGGAAATAAAAACTCTAGAGCAAGAACTAAAAGATACCTTGTAGTGTTTTATTGCCAAAGTATAGCTGCCAATAAATATATTTTGTGTCTGCATTGAAATGTGATTTCTCAATAAGAAAATAAAATCACTTTAACTGAGTATTTCATATATGCTATTTTGGGGAAAAAGAAGAGAATGGGAATATAGAAATAGGATTAATTACCTAAGTTTATAAGTGTACATCCAAGAGTAATTCTGTTTGTGTATGTTTAAGCATACTTACCTAAGTGTATATCTAAATGTATATGCCTATAGCATAAAGAATTCGAAGATTCAAGTTCTTCAGCTCTCCAGTCCTGGAAAGTGGGGATGGATTTTCCATCTAATGAAGTCATCATTATATCTTCCTATATTATGAAAATGAGAAAGAATGTGTTACAAAACTTAAATTGGTGATACTGAAGAAAGTAGCATATATTGGCCTATTGAAGAGATGCAAGGCATTGCTAAGTTCAAGTGAACCCACAATACTCTCCACGGTTCTGCAGAATTGGCTCTATTGGTCCTCTCTCTTTTAGACTGCCATTACATGTTTTGTTCTCCCATTATGTCTCTTGAAAGTAACAAAAAAAATACTTGTACAAAAGTTCATTCCAAGCCATTGGCTTGCAAACTGGTCACATCAGAAATATTTCTCTCATATTTTCTACTTATACACAAAATTTTCCTTATCTAAGTAGTTTGTAATAAAACAATTTGTTAGAATAAAATTGATTACTTTCAAATCATTAAATAAAAACAAAATTAATCTTTTCCAATTGCCTGCCATCAGATTCTTCAGAAACAGCTCTACCTTTGCCCTGAATTGTGTGGCTCATTTGATTGGGTATCACCCCACAAAATGAAAGGTCACCAGTTCAGTCCCCGGTCCGGGTGTGTACTAGAGGCAACCAATCAGTGTTTCTCTCTCATTTGATATTTCTCTATCTCTTTTTCTCCCTCCCTCCTGCTCCCTAAAAATAAATAAATAAAATTCTTTTTTAAACAACAGAAAGAGCTCTGTTTTATTTTTATGTGACTTGTATGTTTGTTTTAATCTATTTTGAACAACCTAATTAAGTCATTGATAATGTAGTAGAGCGGTTAAAAGCTTAGATTCTGCAGCTAGACTCCCTGGGCTGAACAGCTGGCTTTATGACTTATTAGCAATATACTATTGGGCCAGGTACTTAAACCCTTATGCTTCAGTCTCTTCATAAGATAGGAGTAATAATAGCTGAAATTAAGAATAGGTAATAATTACATTCTTAGTGCAGAGACTCCTGTAGAAGAGAAGAATTTATTTTAAATATGTAAATGCTGCATGATCTGTTTTCCACCACAAATTTATGGTCATACAGAGAAGATTTAAATCTAAAGACCCATATGGCCCTTGTAGTTCTTTAGTTTTTAGCTTAATGCATGTCAAGAAAATGTGCTTTCTTATGAAGTTTAAAGTATATGTCTTACAGAAATACAGTAACAAATTTCATGTTTATACACAACCTACTTGCAGAAAGTGCTGGGTATAAATAAATTACAGGCCTAAAATAGCCACTTATCAATAGAATTATTATCTCTGTCAGGGGACACAGTTTATTCTAAAAGACTTAGAACTGGAAGGAATGCTGTACACATGCAGGAAGCCATAACAAGGCTCTTCTATTAACTATACATGACCAAAGATAAGAGACACTACAGGCATTTACAGGGGTAAAGCAGGATATGTGATCTTAGTATGGGAGAGTAGAAATCTTGGATCCCATGAATTCAATGTCTTGCAGTGGAAAGCCCCTTCAATTCCACTAGACTCATAACTTTTATCTGGTAAAAAGTTATTAAGAATTTAAAATGACACATAGGTAACAGTAATTGCTAGCGATGATTACTTAAGGCTGTTTGCATAGAATACTGATTAATTTTATGTAAAATGACCACTTTGTTACTATCAGAACTGTTGGCACACTTATGAAAAAAATGTCAGCATATGTGTCTATATAATTTAGAGCTCTCTCTATTCGGCTCACATAGCGACTCAAACTGTCATAAGAGAAACAAACAAAAAAATTGTTGAGGATAAAGGAATTTGTTGGATCATGTAATGAAAAGTCCGGGGATATCCTAAATTCAGGCATAGCTTAAGCCAAGTGACCAAATGATGTTAACAAGATGCTGTTTCTCTCCATTTCTTAGTTTTGCCTTTGTGTTGGCTTCATTATTATTGAATTTTCTTGGCAAAGATGATCACTAGAAACTCCAAGATTAAATCCTATTGCCTTAATATTCCAAAATTCAAAATTCAGGGTTTGTTTCTAATAATTTGAGCAAAAACAATCCCACTGGGCAAATCTTGTCTATTAGACTAAAGTGAAGGGATGAGCCAGACACAGGGGCAAAAAAGAGTTGAGGGGTCATTTCCCAGAGACAGTTCTGGTCTATTAACAGAAAAAGGAGGAATATCAGCTAGATAGGCAAATCAAAACATGTCTTCCATACTCGTCTTTTCTTTATTTTAATTTCAATAATTAGCTATCTACCATTCATTAACACCTCCTATACTCTAAGCATTATTGATGACCAAAAGGTGAAGAAGACATCATCTCTGGCCTCACAAAGTTTACAATCTACTATATGTTTTGAAAATGTGTTAGAGTGCTTCCTATGATGTGGTCAAGATTATATCCTGGTCCAATGAACAGAATGAATGACTCTTATTCACTTCCTGACATTTCCTTCAATTATTAATTTTCTTGGTGCCCTTCAAAGTTAAATGTGTAAAGAGTTTTTTTTCTGATAGATGAATTCATACTTTCAGTTATTTATCTTACATACTATAAATCATATTAGTAAATGCTAATTTTTAAAATAAGAATGTATATTCAGTACCTAAACTTTGTTAAGATAGAAAATTAGGAGGGGAACTTTGCCCATAATCTAAAGGTAATATTTCAATGCATAGCTTTCAATCTACTGTATACATATGAAAATTATAACATTGCTATACTATGCTGTAAATGTCAATTTATAGCATGTATTTCCTTATGAATAATAGAGAACAAACATTTGTCTATGTCATGGCTGGTCCTACATAGATATGTTAGTGACTGTATTAAATTTCTTCAAATAAATATATTCCAATTGATTTAGCCACTCCCTAAAATTGGGTATTCAAATTGTTTCCAATTTTTCA